GGTAAAAGGACACGTACACGAAGCAGGTCCCCGCGCCCTGCGCGGTCTCTGTGCAGGGTTCTTTGTGGGTGTGGTCGGCGACTAGCCGGGGTCGTCCTCCCGATGGGGGACTAGCACTAGCCGTCTTCCACATGGTCCCTCGGGTCCCTGCTGCTCCTAATCTCGTCGTACATCCTCCTGCTGATCTCAGCAACATCCTGCTCCCTCCCTCGTCTCGCCCTGCGCGTCTGCTCCGCCTCCCCGTCGTCTGCCCTGCGTCGTCTGGTGACGGGTCCTCCATAGTCGGTCGAGGTCGCCGCCCTCCTCGTGCCTCTTCCCAACGTTTCCTCGGCGGCCGATGCCGTCTGCTCCGACTCCGCCGTCCCCGGGTCTGCCCTGCCCTCGTCTGCGCTAGCTTCTGTTTCGTCATCACTGGCGTCCCTCCTCTTCTTTCTCCTCTTCTTGTATGCTTTGTACATCGCGTCGATTCCTTTTCGCGTGAGCACCAGCCTGAAGCCCGCCCAGCAGCTGAACCGCTCCCTAAGTCGAAGGAGCATCATCAGTCTCACCCACTTCGCTCGCTGCCCACCGTCTCCGCTCCCTCCCGCTTGAAGCCGCCGTCCACGGTGCGGCTGGGCTTTGGTCCGTTTACCCCACTCATAAGGCCCTTTTCTGCGCTACAATGTGCGCTCCGCGCCCCTAGCACCGCCCCGTCTCCCCCGCCGTGCCCGCGCCACATGTCACCTCGTACTCCCGCGCGCGGTTTCCCTGGTCCGCCTCCCCCCCGGCCACTCGGCTCTACGCGCCCGGCGGGCTCGGCCTCGCAACTATGCGTGTGCGGTGAGCCGCCCCACCGTCGGGCGCGATCGGCCTTTGCGGCGCACAGGATGGTACTTCCCGATTTATGTGGCGCATACCGCCCCCCCCCCAACCCTCAGCACCCTCATGGCAAGCACTACGCCAATTATTTAGTGACAGAAAAATCGGTATCTCACGGAATCCAACCAAAACCGCCGCAGGTCCGGGCGGGGCCGAAAACGGCTTTTGCTGCCAGACAGCTACAACGTCCAGAAGGTCATCGCGTGGCGGCAGAGAGCTGGGGGGATCGAGCTTCTGACCGCTTGGGAAGACTACGATGTCGATGGTTGGACGTGGGAGCCCCTCGACAACATCCCCCAGCGGTTTGTTCGGGCCTTTCATGCGCAGCGCGAACGTCTCCCGACATCCTTTTTCTACGTCGTGGCCAGGATGCGCGACCGGATCGCCTTCAAGGTGATCGAGAGGACCGGCCCGATGTTTGGGCTTGCTGTCCTGGTCGAGGAGGCCTCCCTGCGCGAGTATGCGCTCGCGCTGCTGCAGTACTTCTCTACTCCTCCGAGCGGCACAAAGGCCAAGATCGCGGTCAAGGAGGACCACTGGCAGCGGGCGCACACACTCACCATCTTCTCGCAGGAGCACGCCGCGTGGATCGTGTCGCTGCACGAGTCGCGGCCTACCCACGGCGTCGGCGCGCTCCGCATCAGGGGCGCGCGACGCATGTCCAACATGCTGCTCGTCGCGTGCAATGCTCGCACGCCGATGCGCCTCTCCTTTGTGGAGCCGCGCGCAGGCGGCTCCGACGCGCCTGCCCCCGGCTCCTACAAGTTCACGGTGGACTTCACCACCGTGGGCATCAACTCGGCGACGGGCGACATCATGCCGTACACCGCGCCGAAGGACGAGACACGCCTCGAGATGGCAGAGGCGCACGCGCAGGTTGCGTACGCAAAGAAGACGCTCAAGCAGCC